GCAACAAAGAGGCAAAATTTACGGACTGCAGCTTTAATTAAGTTAACGCGTTAAACTGACTGCCCTAGTTTTTAGTCATACATTTTAATTTAAACATTTATAAGTTTTCTGACATTAGTGATAAGAGCTCAGTACTTCATAGAAAACATTGCGGGGGTTTGTACTATTTTTTTGAAGCTCTGGGTGGTTGCACAACTATGGCCTAAAATACATGATATAGCAATAGCAATGATGCTATGGTTGAAAAGTGAGAACCGGTTCTGATTCAGAACTTCCAAACATACCAAAACCAAATACAGAGTTCTGGCATGAAACTCTAGATGGCGCAGTCCGATAGGTCTAGCTCAATCTGAACTATGACATCATTATCACATGGCACAGCTGATTGGTTCTCTCCTGTATCGGTAGCCAATGAGCTCGCTGCTCAACATTCAAATATATGATTCGTGCTTGCAGTAGCAGTTGCAGCTTGCTTCAGAAACCCTCCACCTTCCCCAGCTCCACCTGTATAGATCTGCCACGAGGTGATTCATGTATGCTATATGGGGGTTATTTCATGTATGTTATATTTGCAGCAGCAGTATTTCTTAGATGCTCACAGCAGCATGTTGTGGATGTATTGGCAGTAGCAAGTCTCGGTACTTGCTCTGCCGCAGCAGCAGCAGCAGCGTAGCAGATCTATTCCACCAAGACCAAATACATTAACATTGTCATGTACATTACCATGCCTCCGAGAGTTGTCATAACAGAAATGATTTTAATGATGTTTTGTTCCAATAGCAGTTGTCAAACATCTGCTTTCATTCGGCAGTTTGGACGAAACATCATACTAAAAGAGAGCAAGTGAATTATTAAATAAAATGTCTACAATAATAATTATTTTTTATTTTATTATTTTTAAATAAAAAAAAGCACTCACGGCCATGTCATATTTTGAATATATTCTCAATACATACATATTTTATAAGTTAAAGTGGTTAATAATGCCAACAATGAAAAACTATGTAAACATTATTTTTGAAAGTTGTCAATTAAACAAAGATTATTGGAGCATATGTTGTACAAGAAAATACTATTTCAGTTTTTCTACTTCAAAGTTGTTTAATTCAATGTGCAACTTGCCATTTCTTTGTTTACAATGCTTATCTTAGTAATTATTTGTGACATTTACTAGCAATTACGGAATGAAAATTATTTCAAAGCCATTTTGACAAAAATGTTGGATTTACATCAACATATCTTCCTGTAACAAACATGTACAATGACTAAGACAAATATAGTCAACTTGTACACTGTCATCAGTCCATTATAGAGATTCCAATCATCTCTGAATAAAGCTCCTGTCAGCAACAAGCCCCCACCTCCAGGGAACAAAGTGGTTGCATAAAAGGGTCTCATTTGTCCCACACTGTCAACCTTTGAAGCAGGTGATTCATGCGGTGGTGTGACAGCCAGTCCCTCCAACTCCTACACGGAACATGAACACTGGTGGGAGTTTGTGAGTGTGAACAATTCTTTGCATTTAAGTGTCTTCATTCTTTCCTTAATTCTCTCTCTCTCTCCCTCTCGCTGTCCTCTTCTGATAGACATGTTTGCAGCTGCTAATGTGTTACAGATCATCACACACAGCTCTGAGAAACCACATATGAGCTATTTCCTCTTTCACACGCAAGATACGTGTCAGTGTGCGTGAGCATTTCCACCTCAAACGCATCTGATACTCCATGACATATCTGTGGAGACGTAGGCATCGTTTTGAAAAAAGAAAACCAAAACATTACAAAAAAGAACATTAACTTCTAGGCTTTTTGGGTGTGCATAGCTAAGCTAACAACCTTTAGCTTTTGTACTTCGTGCTGTAGTAGTCTCAGCAAAATGAGGTTTATTGTACTGTATGTTCTCTGTTGTAACAATTTCTATTGGCTCATATTTAGGCTATTAAATGTATACTAAGTATAGATGCTAAACCTAACACTAAATCTGTGTTCTAAACCCGAGTGAGCTGCAATGCTGTCTACTGCCTACACAGGCAACTGCCTTCCAAGACAGCATGCTAACATTCACAGAACCACATAGACATCAACTCAACACACAAAAAGAGCTCTGCACAGAAGCTTAGCATGTTGCTAAGCTAACAACACTATACTCAAAAAATATATAACATAAATATTAGGGGGAAAAAACTTCAAAAATATTTTAAACAAAAACAAACGTTTAAAAATACCCAATGAAATACACATATATTATCAATATTTCTCCTGCTTTCTCCACCATCTTGGATTCAGTCTGACTTTAATTTGGCCAAAATGGGGTATGATGAGATGGCCTGTTGTCAAGTTTCACATTTTGATTGATAAAATGGGCTTGTTTTGCCTATTTTATCGATCAAAATTTGTAATTCGACAGACTTACACTGAAGCAGGAAACCAAGCAATTTCTGGAGACAAGAACATCACAGAGAATTAGTAATTGGATCTTTTGACTTAAAGGGTTAGTTCACCCAAAAATGGAAATTACCCCATTATTTACTCACCCTCAAGCCATCCTAGGTGTAACTTTCTTCTTTCAGATGAATACAATTTGAGCTATACTAAAAAATGTCCCGGCTCTTCCAAGCTTTGATGTTTTGAAGCATGGCAGCTGGTTTGAGCTGTTTATAAGCTGGTTATGAAATGGTCCTGAGCAGGAGCTTGTTGCTTAGGAACAGCACATGACCAGCTTAAACCAGCTCAAACCATGCTTCAAAACATGCCAAACCAGCATATGCTGTTCTTTCAACAGGGAAGGCCTTTATTAATTAACCCCCCAGAGCTGTGTGGAGCACTTTTTATGAAGGATGGATGCACTTTTTTGGACTTCAAAAACTCAAAACCCATTCACTGCCATCATACAGCTTGGAAGAGCCAGGACATTTTTAATATAACTCTGATTGTATTCGTCTGAAAGATTAAAAGTCATATACACCTAAGATGGCTTGAGGGAAATCATGGGGTAATTTTCATTTTTCATTTTGGGTATCCCTTTAAGTCCCGTTTACAAAGGACAATAAATATAGTGATAACTATAAATATTCTATGAGAAGTCCACCCCACAACTATAATGATAATGACACAGAGGAACAGTATCATTGGGATCACTTACAGAACACTTTTTTTCTAGATGTTGAACAACAAAAACACTGACAGTCAATCAGAAACTCCTTTAAAGAACTGACAGTTGGCAAAACTGCAGCGCATGCTCAAAATAAACACAACATTATCGTCTATTGATGTGGACGCTAATATAGTTATCATTATAGTTACCGCTATAGTTATTACTTTTGGTTTGAACAGGCCTTTAGACCAGTAAAGATCCACCTATCAACACCCTCAGCATGTTTTGGCTACTTCTGTACAGGCAAACATCACTTATATTTTCTTCAGAAAATTGTTCAGTGCCTTTAAAGAAAAAAATTTAAACATTTTACCCAGTATTTGTGCTATTTAAGATTTACAGTAATGTATTGTTAGCTTAGCAACATGCTAACTTCAAACTCGGTTTGAAAGTGTTGAGTTCTTCAGAAAATGTAGCTTTAAATTCTAGTTGCATTTCATGTTTGAACAAACAAAGCTGGTCCTTTATTAATATAAAGTAACTCCTCGTGAACGTACAACGGTGCTATCAATCCCATTCTCAGTTACAGTCCTGCAAGAGAGGTCAGGTATCTCATCTAATCCAGGGTGCGTCATAGAAACTGTGCCTTTGAGTGGGCCACAAAGCCATCCAGGCAGATGGCACATATCGCAAACAATAACCAACATCTGTCTTTCTGCCGTAGCCAGTAGTACCTCAACTAGGAGGTGTCCATGACAAAAAGGAACAACCTTTCCTAATTACAGGCGGATGCTTTTCCAAGCTTCCCTGAAAACAGTTTTATGGCCTTTCTTGTACATATTCAAGTTTTTATATGACAGATAAACGCCAAAGGGTGACTTTCACCTGCAACCTATAACAAGGGGAGAGACATGGCAGTAACCTGGGTGTAAGACTACACCTTTCCTGAATGTTCACGCAGTTTAGCACTTCCTGTCTGGATGGATTTGCAACTTCCTTCTGCTGAAATGGTAGAAATGCTGTTATTATAACAGTTTTTTGTGCATTAGTAAGTGTTAGGCTTGCCTGTTGTGGCAGCTTTTAAGGGGAGTGTGCTTTTTTCAGCGAGAACAAAATATGACTCAAGAATGAGAACCGGTGCCAAGGGAAAAGAGGGTGGGGGGCCCTCAGGTTTTTGTTCAGTGTACTCTAGATCCTTCCTATATTTTACAACTGATATGTCCTTTTTAAGATTATTGTAACAATATGATATGTTAAAGCGATTGAAAAATGTCCTGTGTTTTGTTTGTCCATAAAATGAAAGTCAGTGGTATTCAAAACCCTTGACAGCCCTAAAAACTTCCAAAAGAGGGGTTTTGCAGCGATGCCATAGAAGAACCATCTTTGGTTCCTCAAAGAACCTTTCAGTGAACAGTTCCTAAAACAACCACTTTTTTAGTATGAAGAAAATTGTAAAAATCTAAAGAACCTTTTTTTCTCCATGAATAACCTTATGTAGAATTGAAAGGTTCCATGTTAAAGGTTCTTCATGGAACCATAGATGCCAATAAAGAACCTTATTTTTAGGAGTGTATGAACAAAAAGAGTTTAAACATTCTTCAAAATGTCGTATTTTATGTTCTGCAGGAGAATTTGAAACAACATGAATTTTACATTATAGGTTGAATTATCCTTAATAACAGTTTTGATATAATACCTTGGATGCATTTTGTTATTGTCCAGTGACATGAAAAATCAGAGAAGCTTGTCATCTGTCAGGTAAAACATGTTTGTTCCCAAACTCTAGCTCCCCAGCTGTTAACCTGTCCTGTAAATACCCTCGGGGGACGGTCCATATAACTTACAACAACCCACAAAAGCTGGAAGCGATAACAAAACATCCTCAGGCAACCCATCATATCACTTACCTTCCAAGTTCTTCACTAATATCATAGAAATCCTCCACTTTTTGTTGCTTGAACACAGCCATTCCTAATGTCCTCATTGATGATGATTGTCTCTCGGTAAACAGGGGACAGCAGGTCAAATCTGTCTTAAGGTGTCCCTCGAGAAGCACACAGGCTTAGGGAAGTTCTGCAGATTTGTAGGGTGCAGCTCTGAAAGTCACAGGCACTCACATAAGCACTTGTTCCAGCATGCTGCACTACATTCCTTCACTTCCAAGAAGGTGTAAGAGCATGTATCTCATCTTTCTCACTTGGACGTACTGGATAAGGCAATGTGAGAATGCCACAAAATATACAGTTTTGCTTACTGGTGATGTAAGGTATGAAGGCACCAAACAAAAAGAGTCTTATGTAGGATAAAATTGATGTATCAAGTCATTAAACGTCATCAAATGACTTTCTTTAGAAGAAAATGAGGGTTCAATGTCATGAGAATTATCCGGTGAAATTTAGACTGCTGTCAGCATTTGTTTCGTCATATAATGACTTACTGTTTCATTGTTATATAAGTAAAGAATATAAACTATATCGATAATATCATGATAAACATTTACCTTACAGGTGTAAGAAAACACACTGTAGGCTACTGTTGTTTGTTGTACTCTATAACTAAGCGCAACATAATAACCATGAGAAACATTCACACCATAACATCTCTTCCTATATCAAGTTTTACAAGACACACTGAACTACAAGAAGAAGTAGCTTTGACACTTTAAATTAACAAGAAAATGTGGGTTGTCTTACCTTTTCTTTTAAGAAATAACACTTATTTTACTGTATTCCGCTGATATTTGTAGCATATTCCCGGGTTTGAGCGTGTCTCTCGCGCAAGTCGCGCTGTTGAACTGAGACTGGAGGAGCGCACGCGTTTATGTTGTCAATCTCGCGCCACCTGTTGAGCGCAGCGGTGATGTCAGATTGGCGATTCTTTCCAGTGAATCAGTTGAACCGGTTCAAACCAATAAAGTCTCGTTCAAACACACCGGTGTAAACGAGTCGTTTAGGAAATAGGCATAGTTGAGCTGTTTTCAAATTAAAATGCATTTAAGATGCATTTAAGAAGTAGGCCTAATTCATCTTTTTTTAATCTAATGAACATTTTAGTCTGACTGAAGACGTATCGACTCGATTATATCTCGGCATGTTTAATACTTGGACATGCTAATACTTGGACAGACAGATGAATAAGTAAATAAATAAACAAACACCACTGTATTGTAAACTTACACACAACTGACTTTCGGAGAACGGACTTTCGAATGAATGGAGAACCAAGTGAATTGATATATTTGGAGAGAACCAAGAGTTTGACTAGTGCGGTAAAAAAAAAAAAAAAAGTTATTATAATAGCGGAAATATTACAAATAATATGTTCTGTAAATTGGGATTTGAGACAAGCTGTTCAAACTGTTCGAAAGAACCGAATTGAGGAAAGAGTCGGACTTTCTTTCATATTTTTTGAACACATTAGTCATGTCCGATTCGCGAATGACTCGTTCATGTGATTCGGTTCCCTTACGGTGATTCAGTCAAACCCGGTTATCACGATTTGATAGAACACGCTGTGAATGCTGGGGTCTGGGATATAAATTAAAAAGTAACTATTGTTAACTATTATCGCCATCTGCTGGACATGTTAAGCAACAACAGAGGTTGCATCTGTGTGAGACAGACTAAAATAGTCGACAAATATATGGGTATTGTATTTTTTATATGAAAATTACATACAGCCTGTGTATTATTAACAGTATATTTTAGATCCTGTAGGATTTAATATTTTAATATTATATAACCATTACAAAAACAGGAAGGATTTACCCCTCTATTGTTGTGCTTATGCAGTATTTCCTGTAGAAAAGATGTTGAAAGACCTTTGCAGCTGTTGTATTGTTTATGGAGGAGGCTACGGAGATGTTTAAGAACTACACAAACAAAATTAAAACAATTGTATGCAATAGAAATTTATTGGATGATCATGCATAAGTAAAAATAAAATTATGATGTCACAGGACAAGATTCAGAAACAACAAATAATTCCATAATTTTGTATAAGCACAAAGGCCTGTGCAACGCATTGCGTCGAGCAACAGCATCAAAGACGGTTTGAAATCATAGCTTACTCGCCGAAGACACAAGACAACTGCTATAGCTCATATAACATACTTGACAGCTAAATGACATGGAAAATACGAAAGATTATCTGGACAACGAATGTCCCAACAAGTCTGAGACTGCAATTTGTAAAAACAGAATGAAATATGCAAACATGGGCTTAGTTTGACTTAAAAAAAAACAAATAATAACATTTCTATTATAAGGGAATTTTGGGTGACAAATTCTACATGCAAAAACATGGCCATTATGAGAGACCAGCTCTCACAGTAAAACCAAAAACCATCAGTTTTACATTTTTGTTCGTCTTGACATTTGCAGTCATACTAGCAGGTGATAAAATGTATACTATGTGTATTCAATACCATTATGAAATGGAGTAAAAGATATATCAACTGCACTAAATGTACTTGCACTGATATGCACAGCTTTTCTAAGCATACATGTTTGTAACACATGATTTTGAAATGACAGAAGCAAAATTGTACACTGAAAGTTAAGAAAAGTGCTAGTAATTCTGGCATACATTCCCTCAAGACAGGCCCTTATGGGTCGTTACTCCATTTTTAATTTTAAGTGAATTTCAGAAACAGCATACAGTACAACACGAACACTTTCTTGGAACCTTTGAGAAAAACAAACAAGCAAAACCTCAAATTTTGAGCAGCTTCAGGATTCGCTGTGGATTTTAGACTGACAGCAAATGTGCATTTTGCATCTAGAACCTAAATACACAAGAACATGCTTGTGAAATATGTTAAAAAGTCATGTGATATGGCAGGGTTTGGTAATCACTTCCTGAGCAGACAGGAAGTACTGGTAGGTAGATCTAACACATATTTGCGTTTTGCCACTCCTTGACTGGACAGTGAATTTAGTTCAACTGAGTAAAAGTACAGAATGTTTAGAAAGAGGGCAGGCCTCGTAAACTTGAATTCGATTTATATCAAATATAATACAAGTACTGATATGATTATTACAAGTAAATTAAGTTTAATAAGTGCGGCTGGAAGAAAAAGTGGTGGTGTCCAGGATTGTACATCCTAATATGTCCAGCATAATATAAGTGTATAAGAATTTTGACACTTGTCCAGTCTGCACCAATCATTACTACCTAAATGCAAAGTACTTTAGTTACTCGAATACTGATTTTGGTCAATGTACAAATGGATGAAATACTGGACAAGACAATGAAAAAAGACCACCATTTTGATTAATCCAAAGGAATACTGTTCTTTGGTCTCTCGAAGTCACAGTTTGTTGAGTGAAATACGGAAAAAAAAAAAAAAAGAAAAATGAATAAGACACAATGTGATTGGCTAATCAGCTTTGCAGGTCTGGTGTCTTATTGGCTGTGGTTCAGCTGTCCTCCTCGTCGTCACTGATGAGTGTGCGGCCGTCCAGGGTGGTGTCTCTCTCCCGCAGGAAGGTCTGACGGATGGCTTCCAGCTCGGTGAGCTCCAGACGGACCTTCTCCAGGTGGAATGTGCGGCGGTTCTGGATCTGCCTCAGTGGGAATGGGTTCATGTCCACAAAGGCCATGCTCATCAACTTCCTATGAGAAACGCAAGATCATATGTGACCCTGGACCACAAAACCAGTCATAAGGGTCAATAAAATATTTCAAAGCATTTTTAAGGAAAAAAAGAGATCACATAAATTTTTTTTACTATAATAATAATAAAATAAATAATAATAAATTATTATTACAAATATTTAATAATAATATAAATAATAAGAATAATAATATTATTCAATTTATTATTTATGATTAGACAGATAGCGTTCCTGCAAAAAATACATATTTATAATATATTATAAAAAAATAGATATTATCTGTGTACTGCATTATTATTATTATTATTAAATCAGCTGACGTGTATCAAGTTGTTTTCCCAACGCTGATTAATCAAACCACAAATTGAAATGATTGCAAAATATTTCAAAACATTTAAAAAAAATAATATAATTAATATGTATAATAATAATAATAATAATAATAGAATATTATTTGTCTATTTATTATTGTTAATAATAAGTCCAAAAAATTTTGAATAAATAAAATAAATGTAGCCACTATAAAGTGTATAGTATAATAAGTGAAATAAAGTGAAAATAATAATTTAAAAAAGTCTAAGTGTTTTTTATGATAATTTATTGCTATCCCTTACACCAGAAGCACAAACCTTGCATCCAAGATTGTACGTGTGAAATACCGAAGGTACTTGAAAATGGTCATGGTATCCTGGAGCTTTAGAAATTCCTCTTCTTTGTATTTGAAGAGTGCAAGAGCAAATCTGAAAATGATCTAAAAAGAGACATCAAAACATATCAGCACACATGGAGTCCTGCCACCCTGAAACAACCAGACAAATGTGACTCATTATTAATAATAAGAAAGGAAAGTATTAAAGTATTATTATCTAAGTGTCTGAGGATTTACAATGCTCATTTTAGATTTGTCAGTAATCTCATGTCATCTGTATTGTGGTTATATAAACTATTACTTAAGACAAAAATGAATAACTCCCAGGCTTCAAGGGAAAAGTATGCATCAATGGCATACAGTCAGTGCACAGCTGTTTGATTTTTAAGTTCAGTAGTATTCTATGTTGAAGGTCCATGTCTACATAATTCTCCATACCTTGGGTCCCTCATAGAGAAAAGCGTCCCAGATCTTGAAGAGGATATCACTGACCACACTGTCCACAAACACAACCAGGAACCAGTTGAAGGTGATGAGAGAGGTGTCCACCTTATAATGCTCAAAATGAGCATGAAGCCTGGGTAACTTCTCAAACATCAGGTCCTTCAACACACGCTGATCTACCTACATCAAAAACAAGCTACAGTCAAAAACAATCAATTCAGTCACCATTAGCAGGTCTGGCAAAAGCTCATTTTGGACTCTGCTGCAGTCACACGTCAGCAATGAAAAGCCGTCACTAGCAGCGTGCCAATAATGTGGTTTCAATTGAAAAGCACTTGGCTAGTTACTCTGCATACGAACATGCGGTTAGTAACCGGAATCTAAGGTAAAACATGACACTGTTCATGTTGCATAAGGCCCAAATGTGGTAAAGTTTGCTCAACAAGCATGTTCATGTCTTGTCGATGGAAAGGAGCCTGAAAACTCAAAATCATTGTGACAGATGACAGAATAGAAAAGAGATGTGCCGTTAGTCTGCTGCTAGTGTGTCATATCCAGTAAATAAAGACATTGTGAAAGCCCCGTGCTCCAATCGCCAGAGTTTTCTTGACTGTGAAAGAGAGAACAATCTTGAAACAGTACCTGCGAGCCTAGCAGTGTTTTAGTGTAATAGTCACGTGGCATGAAAACCTCCACAATAGCCACGAGACACCAGAAAGCGTCTTCTTGGTCCAAATACAGAAGAGCAATAGCTGCCAGCCTGAAAGAATCAGAAATCTCTTTCAGATCTATAGATTTCAAGATGTTGATGTCACTTTAGACCAGTGGTCCAAACTCAGTTCCTGGAGGGCCACAGCTCTGCAGAGTTTAGCTCCAACCAGCTTCAACTCACACCTGCTTGGAAGTTTCTAGTAATCCTGAAGACCTTGATTAGCTGGATCAGGTGTGCTTGATTAGGGTTGGAGCTGAACTGTGCAGAGCTGTGACCCTCCAGGAATTGAGTTTGAGACCACTGGTTTAGACATTAAGGGTGCTTTCACACCTGGCATGTTGTTTCGGAACCTGGCACGTATCCCCCCTTAGCTCGGTTCATTTGGGCATATGTGAACACGGCAATCGCGCTTGGATCCGTGCCAAAACAATCGGTCCGAGACGATGCCATCTTATTGCTCTTCTTCCTAGTAGGTGCATTTTAAAAATGTTTTCCCGATGAATCCTGGACTCCTGCTCAAAATGATAAATGAATATAAGGACAGCTACAAAAAAAGAAAAAACCCACAACAATAAGCCTGCGAAGCTGTTATCGTTCCATCCTGACGGATGACAGCTGTGACAGCTAAGTGGAATCCCAAAAAATAAACCGTGGAACTTTGACCAATGAGACAACAGTTTACTTATGCGTGACTTGTATTAACAAATTTGGTCCGTTTAGAAACTTTACCGTTTGAAAGCGATCCGCACCAAGAATAAAAAGCAACATTGTAATAATTTTAATCCCCGTTTCGGAACAAAGCAATCGATCTACAGGTGTGGAACTTTGACCAATGAGACAACAGTTTACTTATGCGTGACTTGTATTAACAAATTTGGTCCGTTTAGAAACTTTACCGTTTGAAAGCAAACCGCACCAAGAATAAAAAGCAACATTGTAAGAATTTTAATCCCTGTTTCGGAACAAAGCAATCGATCTACAGGTGTGAAAGCACCCTAAGAATGAACTTGAGAGCTGATGGAATCGCTTGGATCTGATACCTGTTGAGGCCTTGGCAGTAGCCGATATCTGGATTCCTCCAGGAGAAAGCCAGCAGCACGTTCCTGAGTTTCTGGATGCCATCCGAGTCAGGAGAAGCATAGTGCTTGTTGTTAGGAAGCGTCCGGAGAAGATCCAGCTCTATCTGCTTACAGGCCGGGTTTGGTTTTTCGTTCGCCGTGGACAGAAGGTTCTGGTAATAGTCTTTTGACACGTCTTCACGCATCTTCTTCACATGGAAGTTCACGCACCAGCTCCACACCTTGGAACGGTGGTTATGGGGAACTCCAGTTCGCATCAGCGCCTTAAGTTCTGGAGATCGAACCATCTCTCTGTTCATGGTGATGGCCAGGTAGTTGTCCCACTTTACTCTAACTGAGGTCTCCTGGTCTGTCAGGGAAAGGGACTTCAGGTCTAGCGCTCTCTTTTTTGCTTCGAGTTTTTCCTCGTCATCCTCCTCCTCTGGGACAGTTTTGAAGCCATAAATATCATACTCACTAAATGAGAAAAAAAAACAGTATCACGGGTTATATGGTTTACAAGCAATTTGTAACAAAAGAGCCAACAATCTTCAAAGTAACAAAGCCACATTTCATAGTAATAAGCAACTAGTTGGCATAATTGAAGATGGATCCACTCAAGAAGAGCATGACATGTTCTGCAGAACCAGGAAAACATCCTGTTCCTGTAGTCAAGCAGCATTTGAAGAACACTAACAAGACCAAACATGCTTGAAGATGGGATCTTCAGAAGTGTGGCAGCACAAAAATGAAAGTAAACAAAAAAAAGTCAAACTGGATGGTGACCGAGCAAGTTGTAGTTTGATTTGGTAACAGAAAGTTTGAAGTGGCCATATTCTAGAATTCTGTATAATTTTTACCTACAAGTACCTACACTTGTAATGTCAGACAAGGTTTCTTGTACCAACAATCAAAATTTTCCTTCTGCATGACCATGTCTACCTTCTCCCAGGCTCTTACAATTAAACCTGAATTTTTTGCTACTGTACCTTTAAGACTGCAATATGTAAATGACCTCTGTTATGACCAATTGCATATGAAATTAATAATTCTGGAATACTGAAAACATGTTGATATCTTAAAGGATGGCCAACTTTTTTGCAGCTGAATTTTCATAAATTATCTAGATGCACTAGGGAGGTATACACTTGTAAATACTATTTTTCGTAAAATGATACCTGACAGCATTGGGTTTGAGGATAGGGTGTTCCTGCTGGTCTGCGCTCTCCACCTGTAATGCATCTTCTAGTAAGCGGGTGATGACCTCTCCACTATGGGTCTGCTCTGAAGAGGAGCAAACGGGAGACTTCACTTCCTGTAGTAGAACCAGGTACTTACTCTCCACCTGACACAGCTTGGCCTCCAAACTGGTGCACTGTAGAACACACAGCAAAGGAAAAAAGAACATGCGAAGAACAAAAATGATTCCTCAGCAATCAAAAACATGCATAGGCAACCTTGCAAAGGTTGGAATGCTAGGGAAAAGGAAATGCTAACATGGCACATAAGAAAGAATCTGCAAAAACATCCAGGGTGGTTTGCATGCAGAGAGTAGCTAAAGTCACAGACCTTTGCCTCAAGTGCTTTCTCTCTGGATTCAGAATTTCTTCTTAAGACCGTCAACTCCAGAATCTCTTTGTTTAAGAAGTTATTTTGGGATTTGTAGCCCTGAAGGCTGTCCTGGAAAAGTGTAAAAACCCAAAAAGATGTATGTGAGACACCAAAAATAATGTACAAAACAGTCATTAAGTGTTTATAAATCTAAACTTCAATATATAGAAAACTATTACCAAAAGTATCTGAGACTTTAATTGGTCCTGAGATAAAAGACTCAAGACTTGACTTAAGCCCTAAACACACTGCACGATTTTCAGCTGTCCCAGACGGAAGATTGGCAACAGTGGCTCCTAATCGGTGGTCCTGTGTCGTACATTGAGAGAGGTTCAAAGATGGTCGTTGTCACGGTCTTGCGACCAAAGATAGCCTACGATACAGCATGATCATCGCACAGTGTGTTTGCTGGTACGATCCACGTTTACTGACCAACCAATGAAAATGCAACATGAAATCAAAGCGACATGGCGCTAAAACATAAAACTGCTTACCTCGAGCTCTTATCCCTTCCTCTTTCACCACTTCCACTTTTTTTCCAGCTAAAGTGTAAATTATCATGCTCTTTTGTTTACCACTAGCACATGCTGATGACGTTTTATTCTTCTATAGTAATGTGCGTCATAGCATACGAGTCAATAGGTGTCATCATCGTAGTCTACACACGTCGTAGCCAAGTTTATTAGATCCATGTCGCATAGTGTGACATGCAGTGATCTTATAGGATTGCTAAAATCGTGCAGTGTTTTGGGCTTAGACTTAGTCTTATGCCTTAGTCTTGCAATCAACTCTTGCCTATGTCAGATATGTTTCACCCTAAGCTCCCAATAATTTATAATCTTACAAACACATTTATATACATATTCAGATATAATGATTAGTACATATATTAGGATGTTCTTGCGCTACCTTCAGGATGTCCAACTCTTGTTGTTCCCTAGTTGCACTAGGTGAGTTGCATTCAGCCGACTGGGTTCCTTCATTACCACTCTTATGGGAAAGTTTCACGATGACTTCGTCCTTGGCCTGAATGGTCTCCATGAGCATGCCCAGCTGTTCATTTATCTCCCCAACTTTGATCTTCAACCTCTTCAACTCCTGTTGAAGACTCTCCTTCTCCAAGGCTAGCTTCTCCATGTGCCAACAAAGGTCTTTGATCTGGGTGTCCCGCTCTGCCAGGGCTTTGTCCACCTCATTCGCAGCTTGGTTATGACTGTGAAGCCCCATGTTCCCAGGAGACACTGTGGAATGCCAATCGCATTGGGAGCTACGTAGTGTTTGTTGGAGAAGACGAACCAACTCCTGGTAGATGAGAATACTGTGTGAAGCTCAAGCCTCTGAGATAGTTCAGCAGATCAATTACTCAGATAAACTACTGAAAAACACCAACTGATCAAGCAAAATGGGGATCCTTTGTAGTCATTGATTAGTCTTCAATTACTGAGGTCAAAGTTCACAATGGTAGCCAACTCTGGTCCTGGAGGGTCACTGTCCTGCAGAGTTTAGCTCCAACCCTAATCAAACGCGACGAATACGTACAAAAACACTGCAACTCACAAGACAAAAAACACGAAAACACCTTTCTGTCGGGAGAGAGAGAAGCCGCAGCGTGAACGCGCCGCCATCTAACAAACATATAATTCCAAACAAGATTCTAGTGATCTTGAAGACATTAAATAGCTTATTCAGGTGTGTTTGGTTAGGGTTGGAGCTAAACTCTGCAGGACAGTGGCCCTCCAGGACCAAAGTTGCCCAGCCCTGCTCTAGAGTTCAACTCCAGCCCTAATCGAACACACCTGAACCAACTAATCAATGTGTTCTGAATTACTTAACAGGCAGGGGGGTGTTGGAGCAGAACTGTTACAGAAACGTAGCCTCCAGGAGCAGGGTTGGCTACCCCCTGCACTAGAACCAGCTGGCACTTGTCTTTACATATGATCGACTAAATTACTCATTCATTGTTTTTTACTTTGCTTGGCACAATAAATATCAAGAACACTTGCTTTGGTAGGTTTGCAGGTTCAAAGAAAGACCCATTGCTCAGTTTGTTGTCTTTGGATCACATTTTTGTTTTCATTTCTGATAGATACTTTTCTTAGCTTGTTTTTTGTAATTTGTTCAGTTGTAAAATGTAATTTTTAGTAAGTTTTTCAGCATGTTTTAATAAAACCCAACAGTATTTTCAGTCATTAAGTCTCATCACACCTAACTTAGTGAGTAACTGAACATATTTTTTTGGGAATATGCAAATCGTAAAGAAAACACATTAATAAAATATTATCAATAATGTTGTAATTATGAATAAACAGTATTGTTTATATGTTATACAGAATCATTATCTAGAGTTGTTAGTATGTTAAAAGCACAGCCAGGCGCAAAAGGGGAACTTTTAAGGTAAAAGCACAACAACAGTACCCATTTTGTAGTTCTCAAGGCCCTTGCTTAAGATGTGCTGACACCTTTTAGAAAAGTACACAGAAATATACGGCTGATGTAAGAAATGGCTTACTGCACCAAAACTTGAAGGTAGATATAAGAAAAGTCTTTGAATTATAAATGTAGAGGATGAGTAGAATATTTAGACACTGTGTCAACATTCACTTGCACATGGGAAATCCCCATGTATGAGTACTACAAGGAAAGAGGAACTATTAGCAAACAGCTATAAACAACACCCTATAAAAACATCTGTTTTTTAACTGCTGCCTGCCTTTGCAGTAAGACTATGTCAGCATGGTACAACATGGGGAAAAAATGTAACTCAAAATAAAATAATTGCAGACACAATTGCAGGATGGGATTGCAAATTAACATTTTATACTAACACCAGCTTGCTTAAACACACCACAAAAATAAAATACAGTTTATGACCTTCGAGGATGAAACTTAAGAGTGTCTTAATGGCTTAAAAAAAACACTGGTCCCTACAAGGGGTGGGCGATATGACCAAAATCTTATATCACAAAATGAGTACTTCTATTTCATGGTACCAATACATATCACAATATAGTTATCTTTGCTTTAAATAAGGTCTTTATGATATCCACATTTTGATAGTATAGACATTTCATAATTCTTGTCACCAGTGTCAATATCACACACAAAAAAAACTAATACTAGCCTAAATTAAAAAAAAAACAAAACCTAAACTCAAGCTCACTGAGGACAAGTAAACAGTCGGCGATTAAATAAGAATAAAAAATAATTACAAGCAATAGCACAAAAAACAATAAAATAATCAAATGTATAAAAACTGCATATTCGTCACAGTGTACAGTAAATATTATTAAATTATTTCTTCTTATTAAAGTTACAAAAGTGATTAAGTCAAGAACAGTGAGAGATTTCCTCTCTTTTGTCATTTGATTAACATGATTGACAAAGAGCAGGAATATTAGACTGCTGTCACTTTAAGAGCTGCAAAGATCCAATATACTGTTACACGTTTTCTTTCTCAGCTGTTTGCTTTCATTTAAGACCTAAATTGTTGTGTTTACGAGGATAATTGCAAAAACGGGCATTTTGACACATACAAGTGTGTATTTAACCGTTCAAGGCCTATAAAGCGGCAAAAATAACTAAACTCAAACTAAACGTTCAAACTCCCACGCTCTATGTGCATCGTCTTCATGTGCACACACCTCTCTGACAGCCTCAGAAACTGAATAGCGAAATTAGTTCTCTTTCGCTGCTGATTACGTTTCAATGGCTTAAAATTAGGGCTGCACGATAAATCGCATGCGATATTTAACACGATCATTTGTTTTTAAACCGCAATGCTTACAGACGCATGCAAACAACAAATTTGCATGACCACGTAGCACAGCAACATCACGTGAGCATGTAACCGCGATAGAGACGATAGTCCAAAATCTAGATTGTGTCTACCGGTATATCATCACCCACCCCTAGTCCCTACCTGATTTACTCATATCGTACCTTCTGACCGGCGAGCTCTTCTCTGAGCTGGTTCTCTTGCTCCTGCAGGCGGTTGATTTCCTCCTGCTGGCTCTGAATGTGGAGCTGCAGTTCGGAGGTCTTGGTCCCGTTAAATTCAACCGGCGAGCTCTCTGCACTGCGGTTGGGTTTCCCAGAGCCCATGTGAAAGGGCCGTTTCATTCTCGAGGGGCTGCGGAAGTCAAACGTGAACGCTGAGCCAATGGAGTCTGTGGGCAGTCAGGAGTGACAAGACAGACACAGTTTCAGAGGCCTTCAGTTTCATTGAATCATTTGTGTGTCATTAAAATGTCTGAACGATTATCTTACATCGTTGAAGGTGAGATGGGCTTTCCCGGCGTTGGCTGTCAGGTGGAGGTTTGTGCTCTGGTGTGTCTTTGGCTGGAGGATCCACCATCTCCCAGTCCTCACTGCTGGCTGTGTAAAACATACTGCGCCTGTTTTCTCCTCCTCGGCCGGCCCGCAGGTGAGACATGCTATTTCTGATAGATGGTGGGAGAAACAAGGAAATGTTATCATGCAATATAGGTACAGAGAAGCAAAATTCATGTAATGTGTAACAGTATTAACTTAACCACAGTATATTGCCAAAGACTGAACTTGCTACTACTGTTGTCAAATGTTGTCAGAGTTCATTCAAAACCTGGAGATGGTAAAGAAATTCCACTTAAATGTAATAATATGGCATACATGTTACATTTGTCTTGCTGTCAGCATGTTCTGCGATTACGTTTTTTTTAACCTCTCTCACATGACATTTATAAGTCTTCTTTTATTTGCATAAAGGGTCAAAGTATTCTATTGCCAGCCTCTTAAAAGCTAACATGGAGCTGCTGTAGAATTTCCAGCTACTTTAGTTTGTTTATCTTTGCTGAAACCCAGATTCAGTCCTCTGGCCGACTTCAGCATTATGTTATCCAAACAGATGCATCCAAAGTCTTTTGGAAAGTTTGAAAAAGAGTTCACACATGGCAACAGTTGGGAAAGTAGTTAAACATGAACAATTCTAAATCAAGATACAGATGTACCTGTAATTTTGTCCATTTGTAATTAGATATGCATAAATAAAGAGTATTAAAAGTGACAAATTCTTCTGTCTCAACCACAATACTCAAAATACTAATTGGGATTTACAGTATAACTTGTCAGTTATCAGACTATAGTTGCATCTGCCAAAATTATTATTACTTTTATTATTTATTTATAGGTTTCAGTCTGATTAGGCTAATGTTGAAAGCAGATAATTCTATAAATTGTATTATATTAATATAATATTAAGACAATATTTTGAAAGAGCACATTCTTTTCTCATTAAAATGTACTTAAGCTGCAACTAGCACTTATTTTGATAATCAAGCTGTTGATTTTTCTAATATTAGGTTTCTAATAGTTTCTATATATTTCTATATAGGTTTCTATACAGTAAAACTGTATAGAGATTTTCACATTACCAGACCAAACAACAACAGCTTTTGTCCACAGTTTTAAAGCATTAAAAGAGTTAAATTATGAATAAATAAAGAAATATAAACACACCCCCCCATAATACTTGCTCTACATGCAGGATTTCAATTAAATAAAGTAAACCTTGATGCCAAATGATGCCCAATAGCTGTCCATCCTAGCGTGAGTTTCCCAGCCTCCTACCTGATCTCAGATCCCCAGTGTCGGAGGGAGTTGAGAGCTGCGTTGGGTTGTGCCACAGGGTTACGCAGCGACTGGAGCCCGACCAGCCCATCACTGTCCATCTCCACAGCAAAGTCACTCCGAACACTTTCCATGCTCTTGTTGGGCTTCTCACAGAGCATTGCTTCTAAAACAACACAGTCACAGTTTGAGTTATCAGTGTTCATTTGCATTTCTCAACAGTCACAGTAAATCTGCACTAAAGAGAAACAAGTAATTTCATCCTACAAAAGGCCTTTTGTATCCCTCATTAACATATGCTAAAATAATGACTTAATTCATAAATAGCCAACAAAAAAATTTTCATCAACTCTCATCAATGTTTCTTGAGGGGTTTTTCCAACTAACAGTGGTAACAGGGTTGACAGTTTGTTGTATGAATAAATACTGTATGTAGATTCTGATTAAAATAAATTTGAAATTATGATTTATACAGAGATTACATAGATTTACATAATGCATTTTTAAAAAGAAATTAAAGGGGTTTCCCCAGGTTATGCAACCCTGTTACAATTAAATATCCCTTATTAAATTAAACAACAATTGCTTATACCTGTCAAAATTGCATTCTTTTAAGAAGTGAACTGTGCAAAGACAAATGTCTTCTCTGTTTTTAATATAGTTGTTAATCTCTGTGTTTCTGTATTTTTGTCCATAGTGGACAATCTTAAATGATCAACCCTGTTACTGTACAGTAAAGAATTGATTATAGTAAAGCAGATATTTATAGAAACATCAGCAATAAACTCTATTTCTAATAATCACCTTGTAGTTCCATGCACAAGGTTAGTAATGTCTAAATAAATTGTCAACCCTGTTATCCCTGTTAGTTATCTTGCAGCATATATGTGTATTAATTTGTGTATTAATATGTGGTCAGTTCTAAACAAACATGTCGGTTGACTTTCACCTACAGGAAGCGTTGCTATGGATTATGTACTTGTATTTTGGCCAGAAGTCATGTTTTAAAGTTAAAACCCCTTAATGATACATTTGTTTATGACAAACATGCAGCATTTCCCTTCACTAGATGTTAATTGATGGACTGGAGTGGTGTGGATTATTGTGATGTTTTTATCAGATGTTTGGACTCTCATTCTGACGGCACCCATTCACTGCAGAGGATCCATTGGTGAGCAACTGATGTAATGTTACATTACTCCAAATCTGTTCTCATGAAGAAACAAACTCATCTACATCTTGGATGGCCTTAGGGCGAGTAATTTCTCAGCATATTTAGATTTTTGAGTGAACTATTCGATTAAAACACCCCACTAAATCAGTCTGTTTATATGCTGAGCTATAATCTTCATATAATGAAAATACAGTATTTTGGAAATATCAGAAACCACTACATATATATAAATTACTCTCAGACTCTAGTGCAATAATAATAATGCAGACTCGTATCTATATTTTAAATATAGCTGTACTACCATTAAATGGGACAAACATTCATGTGATACCAAGAAAATGTACTATAATTTAGCTTTACTTTACTATTGTTATCATTACAAAGGTCAGTAACAACGATATTAATTAATTTAATTAAATGACTACTGCATAGAGGTTCATCACAGGTGCATTTGTTTCTGTTAATTAAAAATGACTTGCTAACTGACTGTAATAAGGAGGAAGCACACTGGCTTTTTGTTTTGGTTCTGCCTTTTCGACTTCTAAAATAATACTAAATGCTACAGCTATTCTCATACAGCAGAAACCACAAAACTGTCTGGGGCTTTAAAGAACCTTATAGTCCATCATTAAAAGGAAACAGAAATCAAGAAAAACTTTGTATACAAAACTAATATTCATGCAATTTGAGCAAGACCAAAAAATATTTTAAGGTTTACAGCTGATTTTTATCGTTCTTTCTTTCAGTGCATTGTGTTTGTGTCACGGTCTGCTCACTTCTCCATATATCTCACCTGCATCTTTGGCCACCAGGCCCGTATGTGGATAACACGGGGTGGGGGAGCACCAGCTGTCTCGGTGGCCGGACATGTTACAGAACTCCCATCGTTTCTGCTGTAACTGCTGCAGCCAATAATGCATCACCTGCCTGTTGGGCGCCTGCACGCAGAAAGGGAAAGAAAAGTAGTGTGAAACCAAGGCTCTATTTTTGCTCTGTTGTTTTGTGGTATAACAGTAGTCTAGGGAGGAACAGGGTCAGGTGTGAATGTGACTGTCCCCTTTGAGAATCATGATGCTTGTTTCGTTCTCAGTTCCAGTTTACGGTTCGGTGATGAAGTTGTTCTTTAACTGTGAGAAACAAAATATATTTAAAAACAGAAAAAGCTTTAAACACTAATAAATAGTCAATGACTGTATCCACAATAAAGAAAACAAAATACAAATCTAGTTTAAAACACAAGGTTTTAGAAACATACTATTCATGTTGGATTCATATGCCTTTGAAAATCTTTACATTTAATTAATCGCATCCAAAATAAAAGTTTTTGTTTACATAATAAATGTGTGTACTTTGTATATTATGTATGTATAAATGTACACACATACAGTATATATTTTGAAAATATCTACATGTATTTACATGTATATATTTATATTAATATAATTTATATTATATATAAATGTATTTAATATATAAACATAACATTTTTCTGAAATATATACATGCATGTGTGTGTATTTATATATACATAATAAATATACACAGTACATACACATATTTTATGTACACAAAATCTTTTATTTTGGATGCAATTAATCGCGATTAATCATTTGACAGCACTAATATATATATTATACACGGCTCATCTTCAGTCAGTACAGGCATGCTGGGAACTGCGCCAGTCTCACTGACGATCTGTTTGAAGACATTCCCTTCAGCCTAGATCCTGATAGCTACACCACAGCGTCATGAGGGCCCGAAACTACATGCAGTGTGAAATACATTTTCTAGAAAATGAATCTGAAGTTGAGAAAGCGACATCCTGTTACATTACTAAACAGATTCAGATCTGATAAACCGCTTTCTGTGTCCAGCGAGAAGACCAAACTACTGCAGAGCTTGCGCAATTACAACAGCAATCTTGTGTTATAGTCCTACATTCTCCAGTCATGAGGCAAGATGTTTAGAGCATTGATGAGTCCAGAATGTTATATTGTATCCTGACAACAGCTGAATGACTGGGCCAGTGTGCTTTGTGTAAAGAAACATTCCCATCTCAGTACATGTCCTTAAATAAATATTTAAAAAATCTGTCATCCGCAATGTTATACTATAATTTTAAGGGCTGCACTTTACATATTCATATACAATTTACATTAAACAATTAAATTTAATTAATTAAAATACAATATTTAAAATAATATTTTCAGGTTTCATTTTAATTTTAGTTACAATTTTGTTGTTGTCAGTTTGATTTGTTTGTATTAATTTCAGTATATTTCTCATACTTTTTTCATAACATATTTTTGAAATACATTTTTAATATTTAGTATAATATTTATAATTTATCATAATATTTATCATAATAACCCTGATATATATTGGTATTGTTTAATGTCTTTATATATATATATATATATATTTATTTATTTCGTTTAATTTTAACTATAATAACCCTGATAATAGGAAAAAGGAGTGAAATCGTGCATGCATAAGTTAAAATGGAAAATATTAATTTATACTCAAACATTAAAATACGCTTTTGACAGTATAAGGATGGTCTGTAACCACTTGTTGCAAGTACTCCAGTTAGTTCACAATATTAAAATGCACTAAGATAATCATCTTTCGATATGAAGCCAATAAATTCAGTGCAGATAATCTTTCTATGGAAAACGGTTTTATGCATTTGATTTTTATTAGCATATAGGCAGATGTATAATATCAACATACCTTCAGCAGGAACTCCTTCCCCTCGGTGTGGATCTCAAAAAGCCCCTCTTCCACCTCCATATCATAGTTGAAACAGGCGTCCGCTATTTCAATGTGTCCCAGTGGAAGGGCGTCTTGAGGAGTCTTAAAATAATACAAGTAACATTTCCTGGGGTCGTACACAAACCAGCGCGTTTTCAAGCCTCTCAGGGGCCCTTTCCCTGTCAGTTTGTTCAGGTAGCCGCATAATTTGGCGCTCTGCTCCTTCGTGCCATCGCAGTCGGGCACATCGAAAGACCTGGTCGCCAGGATCCGGGAGTTCCTGCTGGGATTGGCAGCGCTGTCATCCTCTTCATGCATCTTTCTCTGGACTTTCTTCTCCTCTATCAGCGGATACAAACTTTCCATCCGCGTGAGGTCACGTGACTTCCATTCTCGTGCTGCTGCCGCAGAGGATGATGGGACATGTGGTTTTACTGTCGTTAGTGTGGGAAATATTGTGCCAACACCCATGTATCTACTTGAAATATGGTTTAATATGGGGTATTAGCACGAGATCAGGCCAAAAATGAATTTGTATTTTAGTTTTTGGTTCATAGCTGAAAAATATAATTAAAATGATATAGTAGTCTATAAAACAATACATAACAAAATGATAACAGTAATAATAAATATAACTAAATCTGTAAAAACTATATAATATAATATTTTGTAAAATGGTTTGGAAAATGGATAGATGCATTAATATGCAGGCTTGTGTTCTGTCACACAAGGCTTTAACCTTTTGAGAATTAGGCTACTACTTCATATTATTGTGCAAACAACCCTTATTATTGTTTATATAATTTACAGTACATATAGGCCAATATTTATTTACCATATTTGAGCATTGTTTAATATATAATATCCTCTCTGGGTTTAAAATAAATATATACATATATATAAATAAACAAAAACATTACATAACAACAGCAATAATTATAATATATTAAAATAAACAAAACATTATATAACAACAGAAATAGTTATAATATATTATTATTAAAATATAAGTATAAGTATCGCTTTTTATTTTTCCTCTTTCCTATTACTTGTTTCGCTTCTGTTTCAGTTTTTATAACCATTTCTTACTACGTGTAAGCAAGTTGTTGTGTTATTTTTTAGGATTACTGATAAACTACTGTCATTTGATTTGTATTAGTTGTATTTGTTATTTATTTTAATTTTAGTAAAATTATGTCTGAATTTATTATGTCTGTACAGGTCTTTTATTAAGTTTTTAGTTTGATTTAATTTGAGTTATTTTACTACTTCAACAAACTAAATGGAAATGAAATAATATATATATTGAATTTATAAATGTGTATGTACATATACAGTATATATGTATGTGTGTGTGGTTGTACATACACACATATGTAGTTGTTTTTTTGGTGTTTGGCTTAGTGTTATGTTAGAATCATTATACTCGTGAAATTTTGTTGTATGCATTTGTCATTTTTATTTAATCTCTTTATTTTAAAATGTGTATAGGTAGTATTTATAAAGTTTTAGCTTTTAGTTTTGGATCTGTTTTTAGTTGTTTTAATACTACAATTGATTGCTTCTGTTGTCCTCATTTGTAAGTCGCTTTGGATAAAAGCCTCTAATAAATGACTAAATAAAAAAAAAATATATGATTTCACAAAAACCCAGTATGTCTTCTTTAATAAACACAAGGATTTAGCATGCAAGTTTCAGAGCTATTACCACAAAATATGCCTACCAGATACATATAACATTAACATTTATTTAACATATTTGGGCATTGTTTTATTTTTAATATACTCTCTGGGGGTAAAATAAAATATGGAAAATATAATAAAATGCATTGTTTTATTTTTAATATACTCTCTGGGGGTTAAATAAAATAGGGAAAATATAATAATAATAACAATAATAATAACAATGTTATTTTGAGCTACTGGGAATCAAACTACTTGGGCATATTTTGCCGTTGTCTATCCAGGTGACCGTTAGGCGGCGCAAAAGAGTCGTATATTTCCTTAATTCGACTTTAGTGCTGCTGTGTGTTTGCCGTTTTACCTGATATGCTTGTTTTACATATTATGATTATATTGAGATATGTAGCCTATGTTTAATGTTCCTAAGCCTGAGTTCAATGTCATTTTCGTCCTTGTAACATTTATAGCCTAAGTAATTAGCCTAATTACAGTCACATCAGCTGACCTTGAGAGATTCCTACATCATTCAATATATTGGGATTACTGACACATAAATAATAGGCCTACCCCTAAAATACTAAAACAGAGATTGATCCTATCCAGAGAATGAAAGAGATGCCAATGTGAAGAGAGGACTGTAAGATCCAGCTCACGTGACTGAAACCGTTGAATGGTTTTGACCGTTGACAGAAAGTCTGACATACAGCAGAGCCTCCGTATCTCCGTATCTGATGTTCAGCTTCACACTTTGTCAGAGTGATGAAACGTTAACTTTAACCGGTTAAACTGTGTGTTTCCACATCGTCGAAATATCTGCGGTTGCCATGGCTGCCGCTAACAGTTTATCAGAGATGAAAAAGAGAGGGAAACACTTTGGTTTCCGGCACCACAAGCCGCTCTCTGCGCTTTCCTCAAGGTGACATCTGTCACTACTGACGCAGGTCAAGTTACAAACTGGTTTATTCACGGTCGGAAAAACGGTAATAGAAACCCATATTAAAATGGGCAACAATTTAAACAATGTTTATTTTGCATAAACAGTCAATTCACGGTATAAAGTCCCGTTCACACCAAGAACGATAGCGATAACTATCACAACAACGCGCGATAACTTTCCAGCTCTTTAAAGCCAGTAGATTGTGATTGGCTGTTGTTTTTATCGCTCATTAGCTGGAAAATAAATTAATTAATAAGCAAGCCATGCATAATAACCAATAACAAAATGTGACCCTGGACCACAAAACCAGTCATAAGGGTCAATTTTTTTTATCTGAAAGTTGAATAAATAGGCTTTTCATTGATTTATGGTTTGTTAGGATAGGACCATATTTGGTAGAGACAACTATTTGAATATCTGGAATCTAAGGATGCAAAAAAATATATATATATATCAAAATATTGAGAAAATTGCATTTAAAGTTGTCCAAATGAAGTTCTAAGCAATGCATATTACTAGTCAAAAATTTAGTTTTGATATATTTACGGTAGGAAATTTACAAAATATCTTCATGGAACATGATCTTTACTTAATATCCTAATGATTTTTGGCATAAAAGAAAAAGCGATAATTTTGACCCACACAATGTATTGTTGGCTATTGCTACAAATATAGGCTACCTGTGCTACTTATGACTAGTTTTGTGCTCCACGGTCACAAATATTAAAATACAACCTAGCATATTGCATTTATTTATTTATTTACTTGTTGTCGTTAAAAGGCATAATTTAAATGCTAATGTCTAATGGCGAATTATTTGTAGCTTGTTTTTCCTTTTATTCTTGTGGTGGTTGTCTTAAAAGTTTCAGATCTTTAAAGCTGTCACACAAACCTGCAGCAAACAGACGTAACCGTCACTCTGACATTCTCCGCTGTAAACAGACGCCTGTCTGACCTTTCTGAAATGTCACTCTGTCTGACTTGTATTCCTCCACAGTGTCTCAAAGATAAGTGCGAGTTTCCTTTTACCTTCATGTTTCAACTTCTGGCCTCTATCTGCTGAGGTTCAAGTGGGTCATTCAACAACAAGTGTGTCATTTGTGAGTAATGACGCTGAAATTCAGCTTTGCTTAACAGGAATAAATTACATTTGAAAATATATGCAAATAGAGCACATGCTATTTAGAATTGTAATAATTTTTCACAATATTACTGTATTTCTTTTTATTAAATGGTGACTCTAAGAGACTTCTTTTAAAACTCTTACCAACCCCAAACTTTTAAAATGGAAGTGTATCAGCATTCGTCTTTTTTTAAACCATCAACCACATTATTTATCTAAAGTTCAAAGCCGCGATGATTCACTAAACTGATTCGGCTGAAGTCAGATTATACTGTATGTAGAAATGATTTAGTCTCAGTCAACAGAAAAATCGTTCAATGCAACTCCTCCACAGCACAACCGATGAAGGTTTTTTGAAACGGCTTATTAGTCACAAGAACAATTCCATGTTTTCAACATTACAGGAAGTTAGGAAGAATGTAGGTATCTACCGTCACACAAACTAGAGTCTTAAAGCTAAAAACGAAAGGCCTTTTTCTCCTTGTGCCTCATGGAAGAAAGACAATTGGGGTTGAAATGATACAAGGAGTAAATGACCGAATTTTCATTTTTGGGTGAACCATCCCATACCAAACTGGTTTACATGTTGTTGTAAGTGATTCACTAACACCAAACAAGGGAAATGAGTACAGTCCCTAAACTATGACAGATCAGACAGCTGAAATACAGCAGAGACACTGGAAGGAAGGTCTGAGGAAAACCCTGTCCACCAGTGCCACACACATTATTTCTACTGTCCCACGTGTGAGGGGTGGGGAGAACAGATCAGACCAAAAACCACAGCGCTACAGTACACACACTTTAACCCTGATGACTCAGTTATCGATCCTGTGCTGCCACGCTGACGACCTCTCTAACATGATGGCATTGGGGACACTGATTTCAAAAACTGATTCAATGTAGTACTTTCAGCCAGAAATGGTGTAATAATCTTGGTTGATCTGTTGATACTTAAACCACACAAAAATGTATAAAATAAGTAGATAAAATATAGATAAATAAGTATAGATAAATAAGTAAAATTATATTTTAATTTTTAAAATTTTATTGTATTATAAATATTTGTATTATATACATTTATTTATATCTATATAAAATGTATTTAATATATTATATTGTATTATTAATTTTGTACATTTTTAATGTGGCTTAAATTCCAACATTTATTTATATTCATTATAATTATTTATTTCATAGATTATAGATAATAAAGTAAATACATTCTATTTCATTTGTGTTTTATGTAATAATGAACAAACTCTTAAATAATTCATATATTGTATATTATATACATTTTGTGATTTTTTTTGTGAAGCATTATGTAGTATCAAAATTCATTAATATTTACATAAATATAATTATATTAATACATTTTAAGTTTGGCTTAAGTGTCTACATTTATTAATATTTATTATTTATTAATTAATTAATTTATATATATAATTCACAAAGTATTGGTAATTTTATTTCAAAATTTTCACTTTTCTACATAGACATGTAAATATATACAATTTAAATAGACATGCAAATATATGAAATGATTTAGTTATTTATTTATTATTATAATTTTCATATTTTTACATTGTATTGGTAATTTTATTTCAAAGTTTTCATTTTCAATTTTGAAATTTAATAGACAAAATATATGTAATTATATAAAAATGTATTAGTGTATTTTATTATTTTGAAAAACCTTTCCTATTGTGAAATGATTTGCATGAAAATATATTTTTTAAATGCCACTTGTTTTAACACTTTGTATGTAATGTAATGACATTCAGACATTAAGTATGGCTTAAGTATGCAAATATGTTTCATGGCCACTGTATTATATACGTTTTTTTTTATCATTTGCCATATGCAGCTTCTTGAAGTTACGACTTCCTGCAAGTACATAACCCACCATACAAACAGAAAGTGTGTGTGCGCGCGCAGTGAGACCACATTTCTTTCCTCTGTGTGTTCCATTTCTCTTCAGGAAACTGTAAGCTGTGATCCGAGTGAGAATGCTTGTGTTTTTTTCCTTCCCTCCCTCGCGCTGTCATTCATACGCGAGCTGAGTGTCTTACCCTCTCTAAAACACTGTTTTTCCAAACCCTGCGTGGAACAATGTGTGAGGTGAATGTCATAACAGTCAACACACCTTCAGAACGTCCTCCTGCTCTTCAGAACTATATCAGACGCGTGAGAGGCTGAGGACAGTTTTAATCTTGAGCAACATGACACTCAAACCACACTGCACACATCAGCGCACACCAACAGGTACGTACGGCTTTCTATGTTGCAGATTGTAAGATGGTTTGAAGGATTTTTTATTTCCATTTTTAATGAATTATTTAGGTATGATACTACGTGTAATATTTGTTCAACTTTTGCTTGTGAATATAGCAATACATGGTGTGGTAGTGTGAAATTAAAAATACTAAAAAAAAATTCCATTCCAACTTTTGGCCTTTAATTTAATTTAATTAGTAAATAAATAAAAAGTCACTAAAAATCCTAAAATAATGAATATAACTTTATGTACATACAAATATATTGTTGAATTCAATTTAAGCATTAATAAAGATACTAAAAACGCTAAAAAAATAAAAATAAAAATCCAAGTTACTTTAGGGTTTTAATTTAATTTGTAAATAAATAAAAAGTAAAAGTCACTAAAGATCCTAAAATAATTCATATAACTTTATGTACATACAAATATATTGTTTAATTCAATTTAAGCATTAATAAATAAAGATACTAAAAAGTACTAAAAATGATTCATATAACTTTAAGTGCATAAACATTAATTTAACTGAATGAATGAAGTTAAAGGCACTAAAAATGACTTAAAAATGCCCCATAGACATAAAAGTATATCAAATGTAATCTAAGCATTGAGTTAATAAACAAAAATACTTAACATACTGAAAAAAAAAACACTTAAAAATACAGAATAATTTCCCACATAACCTTAAGTACATAAACAATTTAAAGTATGTACACAACATTTTTTTATTTTGTGTACATTGAATTTTTATTTGAATGTTTATTTTTATATATTTGAATGTAATAATTTAACATATAAATAGAAATAAATACAAAAGAAAAAGAAAAAAGAACCTGCTATTCTGTCATCGAGTCAATCAACCAATAAGAAGAAAATGTAAAAAGAAAAAGAAACAGAAAAGAAAAAATGGAACCTATACTGTTAACAATAAACTTTACGTCTTCCACAGAAAAGAAACCGTGTATAACTAACTTACTTACTAACTAAATGAATAAATATACCTGCTGTTATTTGCTGATATACAAGACATTTTCTATGAATTCTGAATTAAAAACAGAAAAAAGGAACCTATAACAAAATGAAGTGAACTGACGTTTTACATTTTGTCCATCTGTAGGATCTCTATGGAGCAGCGGACACTGCAAAAGACAGTGCAACTCTAAATCACAGCAGCACAACTACCTCACAAGAACACATCCGATGGAGCAGAGGAGGCCCAAACCTCACAGGTTCCACTCCTGCCTGCTGTTTCGCTTAAAGGTACATGGAATTCAGACACTTAACGGAAACCAACAGTCAAGGTGACTTCTACTGGATGTATGAAGTAATTTCCCATCAGGTTCACACAGACCGTCTATTTTTACGCAGCTGTAACGTGATCTAATTTAAACTTCCGAGATGATCAGTAAAAGTGAGTTGGCGAGCGCAGATATATCATACACAAAATTCACGAGAAATTTACATGACCTCAGGCCGTTTCGCTTACCCTGAGAAAGGAAGGTACCTGGTGCGGTAAAATGTAACCATGTCGAACTGACTTGGCTCTGGCGTGATAAACACGAACAATGGCTCTGTTGAAACAGCGGTGGGGTTTTTTATGACGTCGCCGGGGAAATAGGCAAATGAGACTGTTGGTGTGGACCTGCAGTGTCGAAGCTGGTGGCATTGTCTCATCTGCCTTTCTGTATCGACACAGGAGCGAGTGAGGATGGACCACAGCCAGCCCGAAGGAGACGTCCAGGAAAGCACCGAGAGCAGACTGAGGGAACTGGCCCTCAAATGGTTTACAGAGACCCAGGCACCTCTGATTCTCCACAACGGCAACTTCCCGGAATGGTTCCAAGGATTTATCAGCAGAAAGTAAGAAGCGTTTCTGACATTTAGAAGATGTTTATTTAAGTGATACTATCTGTTACGACAGCTTTATTGCTAGTTCTTCTGAGAAAAACTCTTGTTATGTGTCTTGCCGATTAAAAATATGGGGTTATTTGAATCTATGGACTCTTAAAAACAAAGGTTTGTTATTGGCATCTGGTTCCATGAAGAACTTTTAACATCCGTGAAACTTAGAAAGAGGTTCTTTAGATTTTTTTAAATGTTCTTCACATTAAGAAAAAATGGTTCTTTTTACTGAAAAGTTGTGAAAACCCCCTTTTGGAACCTTTATTTTTTAAAATGTTATGTTAGCAATATTCAAAGTTGGAGCGCTTTCATTATTCCCTGTGGTTTTGTGTTTCACAGGGATGCAGAGGAGCATCTGAAAGACAAGGAACTGGGCTGTTTCCTCATTCGGCTCAGTGATAAAGCCACTGGATACATTCTGACATACAAGTAAGTGTGTCTTCAAAATAAGGGCTATAAAGGTCATTGGTAATTTGCTGGTGTAGCATTTAGCATTGTTTTTTATTTCTCACAAATGACCCAGATATTTGCATTTCCTTTAAGCCCAGGAGGAAGCTTTTAAAATGCAAAATTTCGGGTTGAATACCAGCATTTCTGGGGTTAATATTTAGCTTGTGATGTAAATGATAAACGAATTAGTTTAAAAATATTATTTAATTGAATGTACTGTATTTTTGAATCCATTTTAACAGTCTAAATCATTGTTTTTCAGAGGTCGTGATCGATGTCGGCACTTTGTCATCAACCAGAATAAAGACGGACGTTTTATTGTGACGGGCGACACAGAGATGCATGATACTCTCACCAGCCTCATCGAATATTACAAGACCAGACCCATTGAGCCGTTTGGAGAATATCTGACACTCTCATGTTTTGAGGTGAATTTATAATCATACATATTTTAATAAAATATATTATTTGTATGGTATACACTACCATTCAAAAAAAAAAAAAAAAAATGAATCATTTTATTCAGCAACATTTATGGTTTTGTACATTTAATGTTACAAAATATTTATTTTCTTTTTTTAAAAAAGCTGTTCTTTTGAACTTTCTGCTCATCAATAAATCCTGAAAAATATATCACAGTTTCCACAAAATATTAAGCAGCAACTGTTTTAAACATTGACAATAATAATAAATGTTTCTTTAGCAGCAAATCAGTATATTAGAATGATTTCTGAAGGATCATGTGACACTGAAGACTGGAGTAATGATGCTGAAAATTTTTAAATATATAATCAAATGGAAAACAGTTACTTTAAATGATAAAAATGTGTCAATATTTATGGTTTTACTATATTTTTGTTTAAATAAATGCCTCCTCGGTTTGCATACGAGATTTCTTTCAAAACTTTTAAAGAGCAGTGAATTTATTTACCTAATATTATGCTTATATTCATTATAGACCATATACTTGCTAAGGCAAGAATATTATTATTATTATTACTTATTTGATTTTTTTTGTCTGTGCATATCTGATCTTAAATGTGTTGTGTTGCAGTCATCCACAAGTGAGCTCTATGATGTGATTCATTTTGACCTGACGGAGAAGCCAGGAGTAAGTGTTAAAGCTGTGAAGGATATTTGGGACGATCAGTGCAAAAAACCCCATGAGACACTGCAACCCCCTGCCCTGCCGCCCAAAGGATACAGAAACACACCCGTATGTCACATTTGCCATTTAATTTAAATTCAATTTGCAATAATTGTCTTTTGTAATTCATTATTTTATCAAATATTATTTATTTGTACTAATTAATTTATTATTGAACTATATTTATACATTTGTTTGATTTAATGTAAGTATTTATTTGTATTTTTTTTCTGTGCATACTTTATCTATTTAACCGTTTAGGGGCCAGTTTTACTAAACAGGGCAAATTAGCATTAGAGCGCTATTTCACAACAGTGCCGATGGGCGTGGAAATTTCTGCGGGTGATTTACTAACAACGCGCAAATTAAAGAACACAGACGCAACATCTCATTTACATATCGACCAACGCAATATACCAAGTGCAGCGCAAATTAGCATAGTCACGAATAAACAGTAAAGAAATAAATAAGCCACAGTATGTTGAAAAGAACCGGAGGCCAAAAAAATGAAGGGTTGCAAGAAGTTTTGATAGAGCTGGTATTGCGTGACTCCTAGTTGAGGATTTCAAGTCGTCTTTTATTTCCTGAAGCAAATTAAAAATAACATAGTTTGGCCAACAATATGTTCGGATAATGTGTTCTTTCCAAATAAATTAATATGTGTGGAAAAAATCCTCCCTTCTACCACACGCTCTGTTCTCTGCGGTGCCTCCTCCTAACAACAACAATTGCAGCCATTTCAAGCGCAAAATAGTTTAAGACATGCATTTTTGGCCGTTAAATAATGGCGCAAATGCTAGTAATTTGATGAGCACAAACGTTAGTAAATCGCGTGATTCATTTGAATCATTTTTTGCGTCTGAAAGGGAAACTCCTACAAATGCATATTCAATTTGGTCAGGTGCAAAAATAACTGTGTCCACGCCTTTTCAGCGTTAATTCGTCACTGTGCGACTTTAGTAAAACCTGACAGTACTATTTTAACGCCAAAAGACGGTTTGCGCTGGCGCAAGCTGTTAGTAAAACTGGCCCCATGTGTTTAAACATCTGACCATGGCCTCACATCTGCATAATTATGATTGCTTTACACAGGCAGTGCCGCCAGTGCCAAGAAAAGGCCCTCCTCTGAAAGCCGCCTCCTTAGAAGCAAAGCACAGCCCAGAAAACGTTCTGTACACACCGATAGACCTGCAGAAGCCCAAAGAAAGAGCCAGAACGCCCCCAGAGGGCAAAGACATTTCACTTACAGCTTCCCGAGCCCCGAGGCTACTGAAAGTTCCTGCCGCAAACCAAGGAACCATTTACTCTGAGCTCTTAGTGCCGAACTGCAGAAGCCAATCCCTGCCCTTCCTGGACGATGACAGTAAAGAAGAAGGACACTTTAATAGAAGCAGCCAACTGCAAATGTCTTCCCACATGCAGAGAGAACAACTCAGCAATCCATGTTTTAGCAACAGCCTGGAAATACTGTGCAATTCATCGGTTTATCAATTAGCCGGAACACATGGCAACCAAAACACAAGAATGTCAAAGGTCAACATACAGGAAAGCGATGTTATGTATGCCGAGGTGCATCTTGAACCCGTTCCAAATCACTTCCTGGTTGACGACATGTATGAGCAGATTCCTGATTCACGGCCTACAGCGAGAGCAGAGGAGACATCGCACACTAACACTTACGAAACGCTAACAGACTTAAAACCCAAGCAGATTTTATCTGCCCGGCCCCTTAAGGTGAGTGTTAATGTGATATATAAAAAAAGTCTAATTTTTCCATTATTACATTTCAAAATGCTTAATGGAACATAACATTTAATATTAAGAAACACTGAGATGATTATGACAGGTTACATGATAACTTTAATAACGTACCTCTTGTTTCCTGTAGACTGAGAAATGGAAATGGCTCTCCCCCGAATACTGGAAAAAATAACCTCTTCAGATGAACATCATCACTGGCGTGAATCATAACATTACACTAATGAAGAACAGTCGTTAACAAACGTACTTCCATCCACTGAAGCTACTTCTGTTTATTGAATACTAGAATAGTACAGCTTTATTTTTCACTGGATTTTTGTATGTCTATTTGTATATACTTTTATTTTATACTTTTATGTGTTACAAGAATATTTATTAACTTAATAAAAATATATATTGTGTCTTGATGTCAACAACAAGCTATAGAATCACAGTAGTTTATTGGACATTTTCTTTTAAGAAAAGGAATTTCATGTATATGATGTGTAATAAAATAATGATATTTTGAATAGTCAGCCTGTGCCACTTTTAGGGTTTTTGAGGATTTGCAAGTTCTCATATTTTCTTGATAAAAAACACCTTTATACCTACTGCACAAAATTTCTTGTTTCATCTCAACTTTATTGACCATGAATTATTAATACACAGGGAATGAAGCTGTTAAACTTAACAGTCTTCAGAATTACCTAAGCTGCCAGTAACAGAGACCATCTGTGAAGGTGCACATCTGTCTTTCGAGATTCAGTACAACTTTTGGAATCATTAAAACAAATGATGTCATTGTGTCCTGCTTTTATGGTCTTTACCTAAATATTAATAGTCACACAACAGATTTCCAGTAAAAACACTTCAAACATGTAAATAAATGCTATTTAAAACAGAATTCAACATTAAAATCAATGATACAATCAATGAACAAACTGAAAATATAACTGACTTTAGACTAATTATGATTCTTGTGTAGGCTAAATAGCTACCCCTACCGCTAACAACTCGAAAATTAATTATGTTTTTTTTAATAGTAAAAGTGTATTAACCATGTTTTTGTTTTTTTTTGTATACTGATTAGAATTTTACTACAAATACCATGGTTAAACTATGGTTAGCATAGCAAAACCATAGTTAATTTGTGGTTACCAACTATAGTATTGTTGTTGTTTTTTTAATTTGTAGTAAAACCATGATTAACTTTACAGCAGATAACTACATCTCTGTGACAAATATTAAATATAATGTGACAGAGATATTATATGTAATGTATCTTTTTATTCATTAATGGTGCTTCCCTTACAAAATTTAACCATGGTTTTACTACAAATATAATCACATAATCCATAATTAATATAGTTAAACCATGGTAACTACAAATTAACCATGGTTTTGCCACACTAACCATAATTTAACCATGTGGTCACACGAATGGTAATCAGTCCACCAAAAATTATGGTTACTACACTTTTACTATAATAAAACGATGGTTGTTTTTCGTAAGGGTTGCTAAGCTATTAGCAACCAGCAAATACTCGTTACTGAGGTCACATTATCTGCAAACTAGTTTCTTATTCATTAATTTAGTTTGCGAAGCTATCAGCAACAAGCTAATACTAATAACATGGCTGAGGTGAGTATCTGTAAATTAGCTTTTTTTTTTTTTGCTTGCTAAGCTATTTGCAATCATCTCATATCACAATATGACTGGTAAGTCACGTCACTGCATAGCTTTCTGTTTATTCATTAATGATGCTTGCTAAGCTACTGACAACCAGCTAATACTCATGCTACGAGTGAGTCATATTATTTGTAAACAGCTTTAGCTTTCTGTTTATTCATTAGTGCTTGCTAAGCTATTAGCAACCAGTTAATTAACCGCTAAGACCAGAGCTACCATCTTAAACTGTTTTCAGACTCAAATGAGCTGGTCTCGAAAACACTGCTAGCTACTGTACATCACATCCTGTAGAAAAATAAGATTAGGCAACATAAAACAACCATGACTGGTCAATTAAGGACAAACAAAGAACATTAAAGTTCTGCTTCAGCTGGCTCAGAAAATGTATTTAATAAAAGCTAAAGAGTGTATAGTATATATGGACAACTACATTTGGATTTAAATTATAGGACTATTGATCATAGTAATCAGGCACAACTACAAATTAATTATTGTTTCCTAGAAACTTCCTGACTCCCTACAGAGAGTAGAGGTGATATCCTCACATGTGATTTATGTCTGGAAGAAATTTATAGCGGCCTTTCTGACTCCTTGGAGAAGCAAGACTCTGATTTGCATGCTTACGCACAAACTCGAGAGACCAAATGGTGTCGGACAAGATCTTCATGTAAATGGAGACAATAAAGCTGCCAGCAGTGACTGATCTGGTTTTTGTGGGCAGCAGAAATCGTAAATAAGAGAGTCATCACACAGACAGCAGAACTTCAGGCAGTGAGATGCTCTACAAAATGTGTCCTTCTCTGTACAACACGTCATATACACTGTGTGTATGATAAATGGCATACTAGCAGAGCTAATGTGTCTAAGCTAACCAGTTAAACCTAATAGCCAAATACGCATACTTCCCTACTATATAGCAGGTGAAAAGCAGTATGTGAAAGATTAGTTTGTCTGAATTTAGTATTCATAAAACAGTTGCTGTAAAGTACCCAGATAATCTACAGTAATTCCACTGAGGTTATGAAATTCACATCCAATGGACACTGTAGGTCAACATGGCGGATGAAGTACATACAAATTTCACTCATACTACACACAATCATACTATATAGAACAGCTGCGAATTTTGCTCCTCATCAAACATAGTACCTACTCAGTATGTGATTTCGGACACAGCTCTTGACCACCTAAATGCAATGCTTATCTATTAACATAAACCTTGACACTGGTAGCTCTCATGATAATAAAGTCAAAACGAATGTAGTACGTCCCAATTACATTCACATTCATACTATATAGAACATACTTTTAAAGTTGCAAAGTTCGTTCCTTATCAAACATAGTACCTACTCAGTATGTGATTTAGGATGCAGCTCTTGACCATCGCAATGCTTATCTGTTAATGTGAACCTAAAATATAATTGGTTGATAGGAATGCTGTTACAGCTGTGACCAAAATCGCCCAAAGTTTACTTCCGTAAACACCGTCTGTGTTTGTTTATCGGTCTGGCTAGTGGTGCCGACTACAAACGCAGTTAAAGTTAAGGTGATGAGTCAACTGAAGTTGGGCTTAGGTTGTTGTGCTGTGGGATGTGTTTCCCATACATTGATTTATTTGTGGCACCCGCCACAATATCAAAACTGACCACCAAAAATAGATTTTCCAAAAGGCTTTGACTTTGTTGAATAAACATGAGCACTGCACGTTTCAAAATCAAAACGCAGCACGGGTGTTTTTATATCACTCTATCTCTGAAGGAAATCGACTGTCTTCAGAAAATTTTCGATGTCATTTTCATTTCATCTTGCTTGTAAAGCAGCATTCATGAGCGCAGCGCTGCTTTATGTACAGCCGTTACCGGGGAAACCTCTATTTCTGCCGCTCCAAAAGCACCTCCTGCTGACAGAGAATGAATTTGCATGTTCAATAAGCCTGTCTGATTTACACAGCAAACATATTTTGCTTGCTATCAGAAATAATCTACAGGGACTTTGCTGTTGTTATTGATTCTTTGCAGAAGTCTACCGGAAGTTACGTTTGGGCCACAAAAGTATACATGCAGTAACGTTTGTTTATGTTGTTGCCACTGAAACCATCTATAGTGCCGTATTTAAAGGGATAGTTCACCTTCAGTTGCTGGTCCCCATTGACTTCTATAGGAAGAAAAAGCACTGCAAATAAATGGGGACCAACTGAAGGTGAACTATCCCTTTAAGCGAACAGCCATTTGTAGTGGTGTCTGAAAACAGTGGACATTATCAAGTATACTCATTCAATCCCACAATGCATGGCAATAACAACCAATTTAGACTCAGTGGCTAGAGAATACCCATAATGCACCATTAGGGCTGCGCTGAATGAATTCCCACATTTTGGCAGTAGATGGCATCCATAGTGGAATCATACAGATGTATAGTAAAGGCCTGTTCAAAATTAAAGTGATAGCTATAAAGATAACTAACCAATGAATGCTAATGTTCTGTTTCATTATTAAGCGCACACTACAGTTTTGTCATCTGCCACTTTAAATGCTTGAGCTTTTTAAAGTCAGGTGGATTCTGATTGGCTGCCAATGTTTTTATCGTCAGTTGGAAAAAAGTGATTCCAATGATGTGGTTCCTCTGTCATTAACATTTAAAACTGAATCTTTATCGTTACATCGTTGGTGTAAATGGGCCTTGAGTTCCTTTTTAATTGATTATCAATTGTTTAATTAAGGTTTATACAAGCAATTTTCCAAATTTGCGCACTCATTTTCATTTCCTTTAAGGGAATAGGTAATGAGAGGGCGATTTCGGATAAACCACTTATCTAGAATCACACACTACTATGAAAAATCAAGTTAGCATGTGGCTACAGTGCCAAAATAGACATTTTGAATGCTAAAGCTAATGGTAAAACTCCAAAATTTGATGTAAAAGCATTGTGTAAAACTTAGGATGATGTGTTTGCAGACTCAAACAAACGTATTGTGTTTCCTTGTTTATCGTTATTGATCAGGAGATTAGCGTACCGCGTTTGCCTGACAAAAAAGCCATTACTTGAACACATCCAGTAATACTGATATATACCCTGCCTTTGTTATCGAACTGGCTCCTAAAAAAACACCAAAATGGATTGTTTTGAAACTCTTGGGACGCCATATTGGCAAACATCACTGGGCTAATAAGATTAGAGGGCAGCCAAGGCCAGCACAGCGAGCGTGTGCGTGAACCGCTGCGCATGTGTGAGTCACTGACGTCCCATTTTATGCCCTGCGTCCAAAAGAATCAATGCTCTAATGCCTACATTACTGTCAGCAGCCTGAGTGGCTGTATCAGACTGGAACAGAAGCAAATCTAAATCAGCAGATGCTCAGAGTGAGAGGCGTAATTAACAGAGGCGCATCATCAGCACTTACATCCCACTGGAGTTTTTAATACAGTCCTCATAAAGGGAGTCGGAGGTAACGGGATGAGGAATTAACAGCATATTAGCGCAGGCGGCGTTATCCCTAATGACGGCACACCGTCGTGATATCGCCAAAACGGTCCCTCACCAATTTATCCAGGCATGCCTTGTTTTATGTCTGAGAAGCATTT